CCCCTTACCGGTCATCTTTTAAATAAATAAATAAATGTATGTATGTATGTATGTATGTATGTATGTATGCATGCATGCATGCATGCATGCATACACCTATGTATTTATGTTATATGGAGGGCATCCATTGTATTTTTATTTTATGAGTTCGCTAAAGCCTGTATAATGAATAAAGGAAATGAATATCAAAATGGAGTCACCATGACTCCCTATAATTTTTCAACAGCCTTTATGGGGGTTTTAAGAAAGTATTTATTTCATATTATGAATAAGTGATAGATTTTTCATTTCACACCAAAATCTTTGGTAATTTATTAATTTTAAGCAGAACTTTATACTTTGGCTGCTGTTCGGACCAGGGGTTTTAGACTCTAAATGGCTTTTTTAGGTGCTTAAAGTGATTCTTTAATTTTATGATGGATTTTACTAGTAATAGAATAATTTTGTACTATTTTAGTTGATGATGGTCAGAAACATGACCCAGGAGTTGCAACTTTGCTTTAGCATATTATCAAAAAGAGTAAAGAATTAATAAATTATTTTCTTCATTGGTAAATCTTTTTTTTTTTTTTAAACCCTTTTGCCATCTTTTATAATTTTGAGATGCTATACTGAGCTTTAATCACTTCTGTTGTCTTGCACCAACAATCTTTATTTTAAGATGGTACTTCATGTTCAGGCCTGATCTAGTAGACTAAATTCATGAAAGGGACCCTGTTGTGGTAAGATATTTACCCCATTTATAAACAGAAGCAGTTTACTTGAGTATATTACCATTTACTCAGCAACCTAAAATGTTTGTCTTTGATGTTTTTCCAAGATTGGATCCCAAATGTCAGTACTGTCAGATCTCTCTCTCTTGTCATTTTAACCCTGAAGTATTTATGTAATTAGAAATCTAGAAAAAAACTTTCTCTTAAAATTGAGGCCTTGAAAAATGTGTGTGTATCTACCTGTCAATAATTTAAAGTCTTTTAGATGTATAATAAACACTATCTTTACCTTGAATCTGTGTTTTGGTAAGTTCTTTCCTCATGTTTCTTATATATGAATAAATTTTTTCTCCTGTATTTTAATTTGGGTTTTTCAAACCTACCTAAATGTTGAAGTAGTCTAGCAAAGACTATCTATCTATCTATCTATCTATCTATCTATAGACCCTTTACCTAGATTCACTAATTTTTCACATTTGCTTTGTTTTTAGACTTAAGATATCTTGACTCCTAACCACTATTTCACCATATATCTTCTGCTAACAAGGATGTTTTTCTCCATAAATACAGTACTGTTAGTCATGTAATAAATCTAATATTTGTTCAAGAATGTTATCTGGGGCTGACCAGTTAGCTCAGTTGGCTAGAGTGTGGTCCTGATAACACCAAGGTCTAGGGTTCAATCTCTATACCAGCGAGCCACCAAAAAAAGAAAGTAATAATAATAATAATAATAATAATAATAATGTCATTTAATGTACAGTCTATATTTAAATTTCTCCACTTGTCCCCCAAGCTCAATTAAGGTTTTTACATTTTGTTATCATCTGCCTTTTCTCTTTTAATCTAGAAGTCATCTCACCTTTCTTTCTTTGTTCATCACACATTGACTTTCAGTGAGTCCTATAAATTCTTTGACAATATGGATTTGTCTGTTTCCTTATAATTGGATGCAGGCTAAACATTTTTGGGATGAATATGTCATAGTGATGTGTATCTGATCAAATTTTTAAAATGTCATTATAAACATTTCTTGGGACTCGCATTTGCCTTCAACTAGTTTTTCCTTTTAACATCCCTGCTCTCTCATTTTATTGTGAACCTTTCAATTATGGGTTAACCATATCTGGAATTGGTTACCAAAAATTTGCTTCTCAGTTTTGTGTTTTATTCTTTTTCAAAGATTTTACATTTCACTTATTTGGTAGTTATTATCTCTCATTTATGTTCCCAAGACTGTCAGATCTCTGGAAAAAAAATAGTAGTATAGGTCTATGTTATACTGTCTTTACCTGAAGTATATAGTACTGGGTAGAATGTAGAGCCTGAGCAAACATGTAATGCTTTCATATGGAAAATTTGTTCACAATTCCAGCTTAGGATAACAGCTTTGTCTCACACTGTGGCATAACTGGCTATAGTGCTGGAATATTCTCAGAGTTATAAATTTTACATACCTGTAATGGACAAGGGCAGTAGAACAAATGATAAGCAGCATTAATTCAGGTGTTCCATATGATGGGGGGAAAAACATACTCAAGGGGCATGGTCACTACTTTGAAACATCTCTAGTCTGAGGGGCAGGCTAATGATTAAGTAGACAGAACTACAGGATTTCTCATATAGGTCAGGTTATAGAGATCATGTAGCAAGGAGGGGAAGAGAGCCTGGAATTTTTTTTTTTTTTAGATATATTTTAGTTACAAAATTAGAATTTTTCACTATACAATTCCTTATTTGAGTTTTTAATTTAGTTTCCTTTATTCAAAGATATCTCTGATCAGTGAAGACAAACAGGATATTTGAAGTCCATTCCTTCATCTTTCTATAACCTTGTTTGAAATGCTGTCAATTATGTGGGGTGACTTACACCTTCCCAAATACAGTAGGAAGTTGTAGGTATAAAAAATGAATTTGCTGTATTCCAGTGTTAAGAATTATTCTATTACCCATGGGGTTCCATGAGATAAGCTGGCTGTGTCAAAATGACGGCTTAGTGTAATATCACAAGGCTTCCCCCCCACCCCCCCACCCCCGTGGCTGTCTGGTATGGGGATCCAAACCCTTCACCTTGGTATTACAACACCACGCTCTAACCAACTAAACTAACCTGCCAGCCCAGAGAACAGGAGACTTTTTTTTTTTTAATAAAGATGACTGGTAAGGGGATCTTAACCCTTGGCTTGGTATCATCAGCACCACACTCAGCCAGTGAGCAAACCAGCCATCCCTATATAGGATCTGAACCCATGGCCTTGGTGTTATCAGCACCACAGTCTCCTGAGTGAGCCACGGGTTGGCCTTACGCAAGACTTCTAAACACCAGATTTTATCCTCCTCTCCATACAAAGAAATGTAACTCTTTTCCCTCACACAGGTACAAACATACAAATTTAGAAAGAGATTTGGTCATATACTTCTTCCCCAAACCCCACACACCTTTATGCAGATAGACTTGTCAGCATATTGGGCCCATTGCATTAATCACTGTCAGCTCTAATTGAATGAAGTCTTCTTTCTCTTACCGTACCTCACTAAAACTATTTTATGACTCCTTTTTAAAGCCCAATGATGAGTGAAAATGCCAGTGTGGCCTCTCTGGGTCCTATGCCAACAGCAGCTCAACCATCCAGTACTGGAATTCGGAAACAGTGGCATGAAGATATTACTCAGGATCTTCGAAATCATCTTGTCCACAAACTGTAAGCCAAGTTGTGGGTGTGTCTTACTCATAAAGAGTTGTCATGTCAATGTGCTTCCAATCTACTGGACATATAACTACCAGAGGAATATTATTGATTTTTCTGTAGCCTAGCTGTTAATGTTGATACTTCTGCTCTTGTGGCATTCTTGCTGCTGCTTCTTATTTCCTTTCTTCTCACCACGCTCTAACCAACTAAACTAACCTGCCAGCCCAGAGAACAGGAGACTTTTTTTTTTTTAATAAAGATGACTGGTAAGGGGATCTTAACCCTTGGCTTGGTATCATCAGCACCACACTCAGCCAGTGAGCAAACCAGCCATCCCTATATAGGATCTGAACCCATGGCCTTGGTGTTATCAGCACCACAGTCTCCTGAGTGAGCCACGGGTTGGCCTTACGCAAGACTTCTAAACACCAGATTTTATCCTCCTCTCCATACAAAGAAATGTAACTCTTTTCCCTCACACAGGTACAAACATACAAATTTAGAAAGAGATTTGGTCATATACTTCTTCCCCAAACCCCACACACCTTTATGCAGATAGACTTGTCAGCATATTGGGCCCATTGCATTAATCACTGTCAGCTCTAATTGAATGAAGTCTTCTTTCTCTTACCGTACCTCACTAAAACTATTTTATGACTCCTTTTTAAAGCCCAATGATGAGTGAAAATGCCAGTGTGGCCTCTCTGGGTCCTATGCCAACAGCAGCTCAACCATCCAGTACTGGAATTCGGAAACAGTGGCATGAAGATATTACTCAGGATCTTCGAAATCATCTTGTCCACAAACTGTAAGCCAAGTTGTGGGTTTGTCTTACTCATAAAGAGTTGTCATGTCAATGTGCTTCCAATCTACTGGACATATAACTACCAGAGGAATATTATTGATTTTTCTGTAGCCTAGCTGTTAATGTTGATACTTCTGCTCTTGTGGCATTCTTGCTGCTGCTTCTTATTTCCTTTCTTCTCACCTTCATTTGTAGGAATCTTTCAGCTTTAACATTGTGTGCACTATTCTGCCTAGTGCCAGTAATTAATATATTAATTAAAAATCATTTATTTTAGTGTCATTGCCTTTGCAAAACTTATATTTTATAAGAAAAACTAGACCTTAGCTCATTAAAATGTGGCACTGGCAACATCCTTTTCTGTTATTCTTGGTAAAGCTTTTATTATATTGACAGGTTGAATCTGCTAGGGTGGTCTGTGTGTTTTTTTCTGGTCCATCAAATGTGTAGATAGCAGTTTGTGAGATACCTTCTGCACTATTTGTTGTGAAGTTGATATATGCCAGGTACTCCCCCCTCACAAACTTCTAGTTAATCTAAAAAAATTCTTGTTAGATAAAGGAGGAGGAGACATATAGAGTGATAAAATGTAATGTGCCCAAGATCATAAACGTAGGGCTTGGACCTTGCTTATGAGAGAGTCTACCCTTCAAACAAAATAGAGTATTCTTCCTTGGAGAAAGCATTCTTGTTTCACCTCCACTTAATAGTATGGTCCCCTCTGTTCCATCCGTATTTTTTTGGTTGACTTCGAAACATGATCTGTCTTATACTGTCTTAATTTATTTTTATGTTACATTAGTCTTCCATTTACACCTGAGTTTCATTTAGGAATTCTAAAATGATAGTGCTAGAAATGCAGTTTGACAAGGAGAGAGCGCCACAATTTTAATGTGATTAATTAATAAAGAATACCCAGATTGTTATTTTGTAATAAAATGTTTAGGAAATTTTATTGCATGGATGGAGATGATAGATTATTTGGGATTGATCATCTGACTTGACATTAAAATTTATATTATATGCTTGCTGGTTTTCTGCCAACTCAAGTATTCTTTTAAACTTCTATTTCTTTTTCTTTTTTTTTTTTTTTTGTCTTTTTTACTGACTGGCAACGGGATCGCAACCCTCGGTGTTGCACCCACACCACACTCAACCAGTGAGCGGGAACCGGTCTCCACATGGGATCCGAACCCTCGGCGGGAGTGCCGCCGCGCTCCCAAGCAGCGCACTCTCCAGTGCGCCACCGGGCCGGCCCGATTTCTTAATCTTGTTTCTTCGGGTACTATACAACTGAACGTGAGGAGTCCAAATAATAAAATTAATGTCTAAAAATCACATTTGTCTATTTTATGAAATACCACTGCCAAACATTTTGTAGGGAATTGCTAGAGAGTGAAAAACTTTGAATGTAGGAGAATCGTTATGTGTTTTTTCTCCTTCCACTTCAAGTTTTTGATCTTTTAAGGTTTTGGCGTGGTTGTTAGATTTTATTTTAATAAGCTGAATAGATTTTGGAGAGTAGAAGAATCTGAAAGCTGTTGCTACTTGATCTTACGACAACGGTCAGGTCTCCTCACTTTATGTAGCACAGTAAAATTTTTTGCTCTACATTTATTTATTTATTTTAAAGATGACCGGTAAGGGGATCTTAACCCTTGACTTGGTGTTGTCAGCGCCACACTCGCCCAGTGAGCAAACCGGCCATCCCTATATGGGATCCGAACCCATGGCCTTGGTGTTATCAGCATCGCACTCTACCAAGTTGAGCCACGGGCCGGCCCCTGCTCTACATTTAGAGTGACAGGGACTGGAGAGTATTTTTACGGAGTCATTTCTTATTATGATCAGGAAAAGTCTTTATCACAAAAAGACAATTTCATTTCAGTATTTTTTTTAATATTTGAACACATCTCACCCACCCATTGTTTTTTCTTTTATGCAATGTGTGTACAGTACAGTGTATAAAAATGGGAAAATAATAATCAGGAAAAAATTTAAAGTATCATATATAACCATGACATGAATGAAAAGCTGACATGATATTACAGTGGTAGGATTTTCTGTTCCTAGTGTTCAAGCCATATTTCCTACTCCGGATCCTGCCGCTTTAAAAGACAGACGAATGGAAAACTTAGTTGCGTATGCCCGGAAAGTCGAAGGGGACATGTATGAATCTGCAAATAATCGAGTGAGCATCTGTTTTTTGTTTTCAATAGAAAAGAAAATGTCAGGAATGAACCTATTCTCGTTTATTTTATTTACTCTTCTGTAACATATATAAGCAATACTGTGCTTCCCAGGACACCGTTTCAGCTATCCCATCTTACTGTTCACTGAGCATAGTCAAGATAAAGCACTTTCTTAAGTGTACTCTTCTGTAACATATATAAGCAATACTGTGCTTCCCAGGACACCATTTCAGCTATCCCATCTTACTGTTCACTGAGCATAGTCAAGATAAAGCACTTTCTTAAGTGTGTGTTATTGGGAATTTTACGTTTCTCCACATAATACAGTGCACTCATGTGACACTTTATTTGGGTTGTCCTTCTGTCAACCTAAAAAGTGGCTGAGCTGTTACCAGCTCTGTTCTGTTCTCGCTAGAATATATTGGATCAGCTGCTTGGCATTTTCAACTCAAGTAGTAGTTCAGTATCTCTACATCAGTTGAACTTTCTTTTCTAGGTTGGCACTTCTTCAAATGTAGCATATTTTTTCCATGTCCTGTATGTTGCCAGCACATATTTCATAAACTGCTTTGAGAAAGGTCACGTTTTACTCTGTAGGTTAATAATAAAAACTGCTGGTCACATTCATTCCAAATGTGAGCTCACATTTGGAGTGATTAGATTCTCCCCCCTTTTTTAGTATCTGCCTACTCTTTTATTGAAGCATATATCTCTTAGTTCTTTGTGGTGTTACCCAGTGGTAGTTCCTCTTTTTTCCTCATCTCTCTTTTTTTACTTCAAAAATTCAAAAAGGCGGAATACTACCACCTTCTAGCCGAGAAGATCTATAAGATCCAGAAAGAACTAGAAGAAAAACGAAGGACTAGACTGCAGAAACAGAATATGCTACCAAATGCTGCAGGCATGGTACCAGTTTCCATGAATCCAGGGCCTAACATGGGACAGCCACAACCAGGAATGGCTTCTAGTAAGTGCTTTTTTGTTATATTTATGTTGGGGAGAAATTGATAACACATGGTTTCTAACTAAAGCCATTAATTTATATAAGCTTGTGTAACTATTCTAGTTTTCAAATGGCCTTTTGCCTTTGCAAAGAAAATAATTCATCCACTAGCAAAAATAGTAGTTGAACTGTATATTTAAGATTTCTTGGCATGATACTTAACATATCTTGATAATCTGGCATCATTTTTAGAACCCAGGAAAGCCTTATCTAAGAGTGATACCTAGAAAATGACAGTCCATGGGTTTTCACTGGTTTTCTCCAACACTCACTCACTCGGATGTAATAGGCAGCCAACCAGCTTCAAGGCCCCACAGAGGCTTACATACTTCCTAAACACGTATACTACCATCTCACATTGTCACATTTTCTCCTTGATAGCTTCACTTTCTGGTTATAGCATCATCCTCAACCTGATGAATTAACCATATAGCCAGGATTGTTATAGATTGCCTTATTCATTCATTGACTTATTACTAGATTCCAAGCAGTAAAATGTGGAGTGGGCACACAGTAGTGAAAAAGAACACAAGCTGTTTAAATGCTGTGAGAAAGGTTACTACTTATAGGAAGTACCAGCTGAGCCACAGGTAGCAACTCTTTGTTGTTGCTGTTGTTCAATTTTTTTTTTTTGTGTCCGGCAACGGATCGCAACCCTCAGTGTCGCGCCCGGACCGGGACCGGCAACGGGATCGCAACCCTCGGCGCTGCGCGCCCGCACCTCGCTCAGCCAGTGAGCGGGAACCGGTCTGTATGTGGGATCCAAACCCTCGGCGGGAGCGCCGCCGCACTCCCAAGCGGCACACTGTAGCAGTGCGCCACCGGGCCGGCCCCTGTTGTTCAATTTTAAACAACTCTTATGCCATTACTGGGTTACGGGTGAGCTGAGAAATTCATCGCTCTCAGTCCTTGTAGTAGTAAAGTGGAGAACCATTGGTTGCCACTGGACTTTAGAAGCATCATTTGCTAACTGCAGTGTGCCAGGTACCTATTTATTGGGCCATGATATGAACAGAATTGGGAAGAGCAACATTTCTGGCAGAGGGAATAGTATCTGTGGAGGCCCACTATCATGGGAAAACACGTATACTTTTTGAGTAGGTAGAAGAGCAAATATTCAGGAATGAGAAAGTCAAGATTAGAGTTGGGGAAACTGCTTCAGTACATGATTTGAACTAAGATAGTAACTAGGGATATGGAGACAAGTAGACATATTTGAGATACTTGGATGTGGTAGAATTTATTCACATTCTGGGTGAAATTTGAGCCAGCTCTAAAGTCTGAGGTATTAAATTGTAGTCTGTCAGAGTAAAAACAGTATGATAGTGTTGGAGACAGGAATAAATAGTGGAACTAAATAGCCCTAAGTGTTTTTGACCTTTAACGCATACTGAATCTGATGTTTTGTAGAATGAGGTCTTTACCTTTTCTCATACACAGAAATTAATTATAGAAGAATAAAAAGGCTTTATGGGCCGGCCCGGTGGCGCACTGCTACAGTGCGCCGCTTGGGAGTGCAGCAGCGCTCCCGCCGAGGGTTCGGATCCCACATACAGACCGGTTCCCGCTCACTGGCTGAGCGAGGTGCGGGCGCAGCACCGAAGAAGAAGAATAAAAAGGCTTTAAACTTTAAAAAATTAAAAGTACAACACAGAATATTAAAGAAAATACAAAATGAATTGAGAAAGACCACAAACTAGACTCTACCTAGAAGCTTTAAAGAAAAAAAAAGACAACAGAAGGTACCATAAACATAATTAATGGACAAACCAAAGAAAGTATTTTCAATATTAAAAGTACTAATTGTCTTAATATAAGACTTAAGGCAGGGAGAGATGAAACATGAGAATAATTATGGGAAAAGAACATGAGGGAACAAGTAACCAAAACTGTAGAAACTGTTTGGGGTCTATAAAGGTTGAAATGCGTGTTAGTGACTGCAGGAATATGACTCCAGAATATACTGTTGAGAAGAATGTAAATGTTAGTTCATTCCCTTAAATCTGATCATTTTGTTCCTGGGACTTTGATTCCAAACATAGTGCTACAGTTTTACAGAAAATCCTAAAAATGTCCTAGTATTGTATTGTTAAATATCTCTGATGTATTAAGTTCAGTATGAACTTATTCATATTTAGGGGTTTTATTTTATATTTGCATAAGAAAAATATTATGGGTAGATAAAGGATAATGGAAGAATTGAAATTCCTCATCTTTAGACTTCTGTAAAGTTTTATTTTTTTATTTTTGGGGCTATGGGCAAAGAGCACGCATTTATAATATAATCAGAGTGGCTATGGTAAGTCTCCATATTGGCCTAGAAAGATGCCCGTAATAAGTGAATATAAGTAACATATATGTGCAGTCTGAAAAAGATAAATCCAATTGTTAATGGGGTAGAAGGGCTGACTCTTAATTTTTTTTTTTACAAACATTAACTTTAAGGAAAACCTGATCACAGGCAAGTATGTGCATTACAATCTGATTGTTTTGAAGTATGGCATATGCCTAGAAAAATGTTCTGGAAGAAATAAATACTAATCTGTTAATATTGCTTTCTTATGTGAGTGGTAGGATTTCTGGAGGCTTTATGTTGTGTGTTAAAGGGTTTTTGATTTTTGGATCTGTGCCTGTAGTTTACATTAAGGGAGTATTTATTTAAATATTAATGATGGGCATTTTAGATAATGATTTTATACATGTATATATATTTTTTCTTTATCTCTAAATATTTATCTTAATTGTTATCAAAATGGTCCTTCAAATGTTCGTCAGATTATCCTTATGATAATAAAAAGTTAAGACCTGCCTCATGGACCAAAAATAGATACTGTGATACGTTCATACCATGCAGTCAGTGAAACCATCATCTGCATCGTAGTTGTAAATGAAAGTGCTTGGGGCAGATGTGGGCAGTAGGGTAATGTTTTTATTTTGAGTTTTATTTGTTAGTCTCAAATACTAAAAAATCAAAAGATTTTGCGTAAAAATCTAGATTTCTGTCTTCCTTTAAAAAATGGAAGGCTCTAGGAGATTTGGCTCCCTCTCTCCCACAGGGACACCACTGTCTCTAGCTGAAGTATGGTGGCTTACTCTTTAGAAGAGTTTGTGCTTTTTCCACATCACCACAGTCCTGAACGTTCCCCATTATTTTGGGTACCCAATACACTTTCACAGTGAAAGCAATTTCTTTACTGGGCTAAATGGCCCTTGCTCCCATTTAGTTTGCAACACCTAACCATATTATTGATAGGAAAAAATTTTACTCATACATTAGGTGAAAACACTGTTTTGTTGAAATTGTATGTGAATAATATATGTGTGTGTGGTGGAAGATTTAAACTGTCAGCAGAGGCTTATCTCTAAGTCAGTCATTGGATCATGATTCATTTTTCATTTTTTTTAATGTTTTCTAATTTTTATATAATGAACATGGATTACACATGTAATTTTATAAATCTTGCACAGTTGTAGATAAAGAGTTATATGAATAAATGTGTAGAATTTCCTCTGTCACTTTTGCTCTTTTACTAAAAATTGAGAATTGTCTTAAGTGGTTGGCATCTCCTTAGAGCAGGATCTCCCGCAAGTGTGCCTGAGGCTTGAGTGCATAGCACTTGGGAGAGGGTGACCATGGTGCAGCTGGGTTACTATAGAAATATTTTTTACTCTGTGTACCATGTTGGAAGTGCTGTACTATAGCTTGTACTATAGAATTTATAGATTTACATTTTAATCTCATTGCATAGTTCTAATTTTATGTTTGTTCAGGATTTACATTATCTATAATGCAGTATAATGTGTATATTATTTAATAGTCAGTGTTCACAGTAGGCTTGTGTACATAAAAACATGTATTATTGGGTTACACAATCAAATTTAGTCAACACTGGACAAAATTCATAGTTATTATCTGTGGGAGAAATTCAGTTGCACACCAAGCAAAGAGTCAGACTTGCTTAAACAATAGCATATTAAATGCTATAGTAGCTTCATGGGATTTTTTTGGGGGGGGGGTTGTTTTGTTTTGTTTAGTTTTTACATTATTTTTCTGTCAACTTTGAAAGCACCCTGGTTCATAAAGGAGTAAGTCCAAAACCATTTGGAGGCATTTTCTTGTATTCCAAAAATACAAGGCTCCTCTGTAGTTCAGAGCTTTATTCTTTGAGATTCAGGGTGAATTCTTCAAAATATTACTAACGATATTTTGTGGGGTTTTTTGTTTAAGCCTATGGGCACCTGGTGTAAAGATACTTCTTTAATCATTTCTCTTTTCCAATTTAGACGGTCCCCTACCTGACCCAACTATGATCCGTGGCAGTGTGCCAAACCAGATGATGCCTCGGATAACTCCACAACCTGGTAAATTGTGAAAGAAATCCCTGTGATTATTTTTAACAGAGTCCCTGGCATACTACAGTATTATACTTGCTACCTTGATTCCTGCTTTAGGCCAGCAGCAAGTATCATGATTACCCGGTTGGGAAATTAGAAAACTTCTTGGAGTTGGAGCACATGGAGCAAGTGGGAATGAAGAGCAGGTTGGCTGGCAGCTCAAGGGGCAGATGATATTAAAAGATTAAGCATCCATTTAAAGACTAGTGGGCGAGATTGAATTTGCTGCAGATTGTAAAATTTAGTTCAGAAACCATATGTTAGTTAATAATACCCGTCTATATCTGCTGTGAATGAAATAGATTCATTTATAGTTATAAGGTTGAAAGCACATTCCTTTATAAGACCTGATAAAACGACATAGAATCAGCTGTAAGAACTCTCTTTTTGTTTTGTTTTGTTTTGGTTTTGTATTTTCTGCATGGGAGGAGAGGGGACTCTTTTCTATCTTCCCTTTCCAAAAGTTAGCTCTCTTTCCTCTCTGATGATTACCACCCACCTGCTGGGCATTGGACTTCACTTTCTTCAGTGGGTCTCTGTAGACTGTCTTGAGTCCACTGACCTGGCTCTGAAGGCACTGAGTGCCAGTGGAAGGTCATTTCCTGTGTGCACATTCACGTTCATGTAGGAGCCACCGGATGCTCCCTGCCAGCTTGTCTCGTGCAGAACTCATTCATTCTCCAGTTCCACAGAGGTGTTCAGATCTAATATTTTGCATGTATTCACAGGTTTGAATCAATTCGGCCAGATGAATATGCCCCAGCCTCCTATTGGACCCCGGCAAACCTCTCCTCTTCAGCACCACGGACAGTTGGCTCAGCCTGGAGCTCTCAACCCGGTTAGTTTGACTCCTCTGAGTAATGTGTTTGGCCTTTACATGATACGTTAAAAGTCCTTTCCTTTGTTTATACCTCATAAAGAAAAATTCTCAGTCTTGTTTAAACAAACCAGAAGACCTTGTTCTTGTATTGCAATTCTGTTGTATTTGGCCCTTAATATAGACACATGTTTCAAAGAGATGAGAATAAATAGTTACTTTAGAAAGTGGAGTGGCGGGCTGGTCCGGTGGCGCACTGGAGAGTGCACCGCTTGGGAGCGCGGTGGCGCTCCCGCCGAGGGTTCGGATCCCACGTGTAGACCGATTCCCACTCACTGGCTGAGCGCGGTGTGGGCGCAACACGGAGGGTTGCGATCCGGCAACGGGCGCGACACCGAGGGTTGCGATCCCGTTACCGGTCAGTAAAAAAGACAAAAAGGAAGAAAAAAAAAAAAAGGGGAGGGGCAAAAACTAAATTATATACGAAAATCCTTAATTTTTGCTTATCTCTTCTACCTAGAGATAGTTTTTAGAAATTTATCCTACAGAAATAATTGCTATAAGGCACTACAATGATATAATTTGAAGAAAATTTATGTTAAGGATGTTGTATTATGTGTTCTGTTTTGAAAAAATGCCGTATTATAAAAGTACGTTAAGAAATTTGTTATGGGGCCGGCCCGGTGGCGCACTTCTACAGTGCGCCGCTTGGGAAGCGTGGCAGCGCTCCCGCCGAGGGTTCGGATCCCACATACGGACCGGCCGCTCACTGGCTGAGCGAGGTGCGGGAGCAACACCAAGGGTTGCGATCCCGTTGCCGGTCCCGGTCTGGTACGGGCGCGACACTGAGGGTTGCGATCCTCGTATAACTTCGTATAATGTATGCTATACGAAGTTATTACGTTCCTTTGTGCATCTTTGCTACGCCCACTTCTGGCTGCTAAGGCAATAATTTCAAAACTTGGATAATGGCATAAAAGTTGTTTATAACTTTAAATGGAAAAAGAAGGCTTTTAAAGTATATATATGTTATATGATCCAATATAGTTTGAACACTTTTGATTATAAACATTTAATATATTTATTAATCTATATGAAATAAACACTAAAAGATTTACATCCAAGCAAGTACAGGTTGAGCATTCCTGTTCCAAAAATTTGAAATTCAGAACTCTCCAAAATCCAGAACTTTTTGAATACCTGTGTGATGCTCAAAGGTCATACTCAACAGAAATGCTCATTAGACCATTTCAGATTTCAGATTTTTGGTAAGCCATGCTCAACTGGTATGTACAAAATCCAGAACTTTTTGAATACCTGTGTGATGCTCAAAGGTCATACTCAACGGAAATGCTCATTAGACCATTTCAGATTTCAGATTTTTGGTAAGCCATGCTCAACTGGTATGTATAATGCAAATGTTACATAATCCAAAAAAAATCTGAAATCCAAAACACTTCTGGTCTCAAGCATTTCAGACGAGATCGGGCGCGTTCAGGGTGGTATGGCCGTAGACTCAAGCATTTCAAATAAGGGATACCTAACCTGTACTGTTCATAGTTTAGAAAATCATAGTACTAGAAAGCTGATAAGAAGCCAGTTCCCTGTACCTGGGGTCTCAATATTTAGTAGCCTGCACATTTTTTCACAGTTATATCTATTCTCTAATGCCTGTCTTCCCACTCCATGCAGGGAACTTTCTGTCCTATGCAATGGTGATGGAGGAGCAATCGCTTGATTCTAGAGGCTGGGCAAGAGAGACTGAGCACCTTGCTGCACTTTATGCAAACTCTTAACCAGCCATCCAGCCCTCTGAATTGGCTCCGACCCTCACCCTATTAGCTGGTGCTTCCAATTCTTGAACCTTTTTGGGATTCTCTACCATTACTACTACTATTCACAAATATGCCATGTGTAGCAAGGAGCCTATTCTTCATTTTAATCCAGAAACCAAATGCTTTTCTTAGCTTATGAAGTTTTGGGCCTTTGGTATTCCAGATTTCTTTCCTTTATTAAAGGCCTGTATTTGTGTAGGTATTTTTTAAAAATATATGTAACAATCCTAGAGCATTTGTGGAACATGATTGCTACCAGATTCAGCCACAACTTGTAAGATTTACTTGTTTTTACCCATTATGGAGTTTGTGCTGTTAGAAGACTAGTGACATGAGCAAAAAGCTCATGAAATTGTGATTCACTCTCCTCACTTAACAGAATATGCAAAGAAACACTTAAGCTCTTTTCCTTGTCAGAGTTCTGCATGTATTTGTGCACCAAGAGAATGTGCATTTGTCCATAGTTCTTATTTCTTGAAAGTAGGGTTAGATAAGCTGGAGGCTATTCCCCCTTACCTTAGCAGTTTTCTTTTCTCCGCCCTCCCCCCGTTTCACCTTCACCTGTTTTCCTGCCTTTTCCTCTCCTCTGCTCAGTAAGGCTGACAGCAGGCCTGAAGCAGTTGATGATTCCAGTTGTGGTAGAATAACTGTAATAAAGCAGTTTGGCGCTCTGTGGTTCTTTTGCAGCCTATGGGCTATGGGCCTCGCATGCAGCAGCCTTCCAGCCAGAGCCAGTTCCTTCCCCAGACTCAGTTCTCATCACAGGGAATGAATGTAACAAATATGCCTTTGGCTCCATCCAGTGGTCAAGCACCAGTGTCTCAAGTATGTCTCACGGTGAATTTTTTTCTCATTTTTGTGATTCTTGAAACTTCTCTTGATCTAGGTTTTTACAGGGAAGGGTGGCAGCAAATAGTGCGTGAAGACATGACTTTCTAAAAAAAAGCAATTTTCCACTTACAGTATTCTGAACATGAAGAGATTATTCTGTGACAGAGCAATGGTGCTAATTATTACAAACTAGGAAATTATATTTTATTTTATTTTTATTTCTTGGCAGCTGGCCAGTATGGGGATCCAAACTGGAAATAATTTACGTACTTTTTTATTTATTTTAAAATTTATTTATTTATTTACATTCTAAGATGTTGCAGAGCAGTTTGGGGGCTGGGGGAAAGGTTAAAGGGGAGGCGGGAGAGAGGGGCGTGATCAAGGCATTTGGCACCCCCCTCATTCTGGCAGTGGAGCCCAGGAGGCATGTGGATGTCCAGGGACATGGTCGAGGTCCTCGGCCCCACCCCCACCCCACTCAGAACCCCGGGGCACTTCTGCCAGCTGTCCATGATGTGCCCCAATATTCCTCCAATGGGCCAGTTTCCCCCACTCCCCCATATTCCAAACACTTCCCATGCACCGGTCCCTTGTGATGACTCACTGGCCTCTGAGTAGCTCCTTTTTTCAGTTGCCCTTCACTTCTATGTTTGTCCACAGGAACCCTGTTAGTGGTCTTACTGGCCTGGGTGCCACGAAGGCCTTCTCCCCTGCAGCCACCATGAAACTTCATATGAAGGGCACAGCTGTGGCTTTTGCCAGCTCTTGCTCCATGTGTCCACCAGGACCAACCTAGAAGTGGTTGGGGCTCAAAATAGTCAAAGTGGCCCTTTCTTCCTCTCATCATGGCTTCTCCTGCCTTCATGAACTCCTTAGGTCTCTCCTTCTCTTCCCCTGAGTTCTGGCGGTCTCAGCTTGGCTGTCATTGCTTTTTAATAGTTGTAAATTGGTTGATTGTGGGTGAGGGTGATGCTGGGTACTGTCTACTCCACCATCTTGATCGGACTCCTGAACTGGAAATAATTTAAATTGATGGTTTTAACTTTTCTTTTTTCAATTTTTTTTGAGTAGTAAACACTTTAAAAAATAAAATCATAGTGAGAACTACCACGTAGGAGGAGGAACTCTAGCTGGAGAGAGCATAGGGAGGCCCCAGAGCACTTTGCACTCACTACTCCCGTGCTCCTGCTGGGGCCGGGGCCGTTCTGCTAAATGGTTTTATGTCTCTTTAATCAAGTTCTCTGTTGATTTTGTTATCCAAAGTATGCCCCCAGTAATAGGATTTTTTACATTTTTTGAAATAGAGGCATTGTTGCTTTTGTTTAATCAGTTCGTGTCTTAAATGCATATAACTTAACTGTGTGATTATTTCTTTTATTGTATTCTGAACTGCCATCTTGTTATGTGTTTCATTTTAACAGGCACAAATGTCTAGTTCTTCCTGCCCAGTGAACTCTCCTATAATGCCTCCAGGGTCTCAAGGGAGCCACATTCACTGTCCGCCTCTGCCTCAAACGGCTCTGCATCAGAATTCACCCTCTCCTGTTCCTAGTCGTACCCCCACCCCTCACCACACTCCCCCAAGCATAGGGGCTCAGCAACCACCAGCAACAGCAATTCCAGCCCCTGTTCCTACACCTCCTGCCATGCCACCTGGGCCACAGTCCCAGGCTCTCCATCCGCCTACAAGGCAGACACCTACACCACCAACAACACAACTTCCTCCTCAAGTGCAGCCTTCACTTCCTGCTGTTCCTTCAGCTGACCAGCCCCAGCAGCAGCCTCGCTCACAACAGAGTACAGCAGCCTCTGTTCCTACCCCAACAGCACCACTGCTACCTCCACAGCCTGCAACTCCGGTAAGCATTTGAAATTAGGTGGAATCATTTCAGTTGCGCACTGTATTATTACGTTACTTCTGTGCCATCTCTGCTTTCTTGTGTTTCATCTCTTATTGTCTCCACAGACAGAATGGATCTCTTTTTCATTAGGGACTGACTTTTCTTGTTTTTTCTTCCTCTCAGAGTACCTAGCATAGGGAGGTACTGACTTTAGGTCTGACTTTGACCATTATGTTTCATGTTGTGTTCTGAGGCCTGAAGACATGTAGTCCCTCTCCTACTTATTTAGTATATCTTTTACTACACCACATGAATTCTACATATATTTAAAGATTTGTTTTCAAATGGTTTGAGCTATAGTACTCAGAGATCAAATGAAAAAATTATAGATTTGAGTCCCTTTGGCCCTAACCAAAATTTAAAAATCATGGTCTAAGATGAGAGAATTATGAACCCAGAACAACCTATAGCTTACTTGTGAGAGGTTGGTTATGTATGTAACAAACCTAAATTCTTGTCTAACAGTTAAATCCTTACTAATAGAATTCTGTGTGATAAGGCTTAGAACTTTCTGCCTTGATTGTTGATATATTTTAGTTTTCAGTCATGTTGATGAACTGAGAAGTCCCCACAAGCCACCTCCACTTCATAAAATACTGTTCGTCAATAACTGATTCATCGTGGACTTTGACAGGCAGGAAGGGCAGAATGCAGAAAGGAATGTGTGCATCTGTTTGATTTTATTTTTTATAGGATAGTTCTAGAAAATAATAACTTCTCATTATGAGGTGGTTTTTTTTACTGGAAGACTTAGGGAAGCAGTCATCTTTGAAACCTCCACCAATCACACACTGCCAGAGAATGACAGTTGCTGCCTGTTTTATGTACATCCAGCAAACTAGTATTTTCAAGTCCTCAAACTTCTGTTCTTTAGCTTAATTGAAGGTGGTGAGATGGGCAGACTTAAGTGAAAGCACCATAAATGGATATAATGATCCTAGACAAAAAATACGTGGTTAAGGGCTGGCCCGGTGGCGCACTGGACAGTGCGCCACTTGGGAGTGCAGCGGCACTCCCACCGAGGGTTCAGATCCCATGTGGAGACCGGTTCCCGCTCACTGGCTGAGCGTGGTGCGGGCGCAACACCGAGGGTTGCGATCCCGTTGCCGGTCCCTGGTACGGGCGCAACACCGAGGGTGGCCAGCCCGGTGGCACACTGCTGTAGTGCGCCGCTTGGGAAGCGCGGCGGCGCTCCGCCGAGGGTTCAGATCCCACATACAGACCGGTTCCCGCTCACTGGCTGAGCAAGGCGCGGGGGCAACACCGAGGGCTGCGATCCCGTTGCCGGTCCCGGTCCGGTACGGGGGCGACACTGAGGGTTGCGATCCGTTGCCGGACACGGAAAAAGACAAAAAAAAAAAAAGACAAAAAGGAAAAAAAAAAAATACGTGGTTAATCCTGCGATCCTGTTGTGTAGCTTAAGTTCTAATTGTGTGATTGGCACATTTTTTTTTGTTTTTCCCCCTCTCTCTGCCCAGCTTTCCCAGCCAGCTGTAAGCATTGAAGGACAGGTATCAAATCCTCCATCTACTAGTAGCACAGAAGTGAATTCTCAGACCATTCCTGAGAAGCAGCCCTCACAGGAAGTGAAAATGGAGGCGAAAATGGAAGTGGATCATCCAGAACCAGCAGATACTCAGCCAGAGGATATTCCAGAGGTGAGAGTAGGGCAGTTACTGCTATGATTTGGTCAAGACCTTAGTCTAGGAACCCAATTTTTAAAAATCAGTATTGCAGGAAAGTAATCTGATAATTAGGTCTTATCGGGTCTTATGATTTTCATGTGAGAAAGAGTATTCAGATATGTCCACAGGGGAAGAGTAAATGTAATGATAATGATCGTATTGCTTCCCAGTTGGATATGTTTGCAATACTAAAAATTCCTACCTTGTCTTTTAGACTAAAGCAGAAAACTGTAAGGTGGAGCCTACAGAAACAGAAGAGAGAGGCACTGAGTTAAAAACTGAAATAAAAGAGGAGGAAGACCAGCCAAGTACTTCAGCTACCCAGTCATCTCCAGCTTCAGGACAGTCAAAGAAAAAGAGTAAGTCTCTTAGGCTATCTGCTCCTGGGGGCAAAGACCCAGAGTAGACTGGTGTCAGGCCCCTTGGGCTTCAGAAATTGACGTTAATGTAATTTCATCAAGTGTGAATCCCTGGGCCTAGTCTCTTTGTTGTTACTAATGTTGGAAAAGAATTTTTCTTTCCTTTAGGTGTATTCACTTGGTATAACCACTGGGTCAGTCATATTCCTCATTTCTTCAGGGCATGGTACGTGGTTAGCACTCTCTAAAAATTACCTCTTTTTCAGAAGCAAGAAATTGTTAAATAGGCTGACTGGTTAGCTCTGTCGGTTAGAGTGTAGTTTTATAACACCAAGGTCAAGGGTTTGGATCTGCATGATCAGACAGGAGCCACGGGCCGGCCCTAATGAGAACACATTTGAACTTAATTTGATCAACTCAGTCCACTGTTCTAGCAATAATTTAGTGTTCTCTTTTTTTGAGACTTAACCCTAACATTTGCCATTAAAATAGTAAACATCTGTTCTTCCTCAACTCTAAAATATCATTTTATTGAGATTTTCTCCCCTTGAATACTTCTGACTCCTTTAGTGCTAAGACAGTCATACCAGTTCTAATTTGACTTGTTGAATACTGATGTCATGAAGCAATACTGTATTACTTGATACCACCACCCTCTTACTGCCAGTATCTTTTTAATTGTCATATTGGGAAGGCTCTTCATAAATTTTTAGAAGCCCTTGGGTTCTGTTTCTACTTGGCCAAAACTCCATTTTAACTGAATTTGTCACTGGAAAATTAGCTGAGCCTTGAAAGAGTTTAAAGACAACAAGACATGCTGTTTCGTAGGTGTTGCCTGAAGCAGAACAGAAAGGAGTTAGAATGAGGAAGTGAGGCCTTAGTTACATCTTCATGCACAATGTAGTCGATTTTGTGTTTTGTGATTCTTGAGATGATTTTGCAGCTTCAACTTGAACTTTATTTAAATTCTTTTGCTTAATGGATAACTAATTTCAAATGTACTCTTCTTAAAGTTTTCAAGCCAGAAGAATTACGACAGGCACTGATGCCAACACTAGAGGCACTTTACCGTCAGGATCCGGAATCCCTTCCCTTTCGTCAGCCTGTGGACCCTCAGCTTCTAGGAATCCCTGTAAGTATGTGGTGGTACTTCTGATTTTTTTTTTTTTTTTAAATCTGGTAACGGCTTTGTTGAGATATAATTCATATACCATACAAGTCACCTATTTAAAATGTATAATTCAGTGGTTTTTAGTATATTCATAGAGTTGTACAACCATCACCACAGTTTTATTTTTATCATCCCACAAAAGAAACCCCATATCCATTAATTGTCACTCTTCATTTCCTCCCCCAGTACCCCACCCCCCAACCCTAGGCAGTCACCAGTCTACCTTTTGTCTCTTGATTTGTATGTTTTAGACATTTCATTAAATGGAAACAATACATGGTTTTTTATGACTGGCTTCTTTCACTTAGCATGTTTTTGAAATTCATCCATGTTGTAGCACGAATCAGGACTTCATTCCTTTTTATGGCCCAGTTATATTCTACTATATGTCTGTACTCCATTTTCTTTACATGTTCATTAGTTGATAGACATTTAGGTTGTTTACACTTTTTTGCTATTGAGGATAGTGCTGCTATGAACATTTGTGTACAAGTTGAATATTCCTTATTCATAGTTCTTGGGACCAAAGTGTTCCGTATTTCAGATTTTTTCTAATTTTGGAATATTTGTAGAATATATACCAGTTGAGCATTCCTAATCCGAAAACCCAAAATGCTCCAATGAGCATTTCCTTTGAGTGTCATGTTGGCACTCAAAAAGTTTCAGATTTTGTAGCATTTTGGATTTCTGATTTTTGGATTAGGGATGCATCTGGAGTTGTTTCTGTAGATCATCAGCCTGCTGTCTGGAAAGTCCAAAATAACTCTTATTTTCTCTGCCTTCTAAGCAGCTTCATATCTGTGTAAACTAATAATTTAAAGAAATAATGGGCATCAGCCAACTTTTGGGGAATATAGACTCAACATTACCTGGAAAATTAATGATGATAATAGGAAGATATTCCATCTGCCCTAAATATACTGAGACTCTTGGGTAATGTTGTTTGGTGTCACTTGTCTTTCTAGGATTACTTTGATATTGTGAAGAGCCCCATGGATCTTTCTACCATCAAGAGGAAGTTAGACACAGGACAGTATCAGGAACCCTGGCAATATGTGGATGACATTTGGCTTATGTTCAACAATGCCTGGTTATATAACCGGAAAACATCCCGGGTATACAAGTACTGCTCCAAGTTGTCTGAGGTCTTTGAACAAGAAATTGACCCAGTCATGCAGAGCCTTGGATATTGTTGTGGCAGAAAGGTAAGAAATGGCTTTCAGATCTGCCTTTAACTTTTCCAGGGTACCTAGAATATAGTGATGACTGGGATAAGAGATATCTTGCTTCTACTGGCTTTGATAGGGCCTTTCTCTTAATGCATTGTTTATACTTACTTGTACATGTTTATATAGAATGGGCTTTCTGTAAAGACAGTCTTTGTACAGATGTGACTTGTATGATATTGAATCATCAGACTATAAGCTCATCTCGGGTAGGGCTTTATCATGTTCACCTATGGGTTCACATTGCACAGAGTGTACTGGTTTTCCTGGGCATACCAAGTCACATTGAGCTACAAGTGGCAAAGTGGAAGGAAATGATTGCTAAGCCTACCTCTGAGTAGTGAAATAGTAAGCTTAGAATGGTTTTTAGAAACTGAAATAAAATTTTTAAAAACTGAAATAGGCCATTATGATTAACATTAATGAAAACTAAGATGTCAGTGGCTTTTGTTTCTGATTTGCCATTGTAACTGTTTTAGCTTGTCCTTCAGGCTCCTGTACTCTTAACAAATGGTTCCTTTTGCAGTTGGAGTTCTCTCCACAGACACTGTGTTGCTATGGCAAACAGTTATGCACAATCCCTCGCGATGCCACTTACTACAGTTACCAGAACAGGTAAGCTCAACCACGTGTGGACCATGATCCATGTGTCCGAATGTCTAGGTAGTGCATGTGGATGGACCAGCACACATACAGTCATGACTCGTGTAACTTGCTTGAAAACAGCTGTATAGCACAAGTTCTGTTCTCTGCTTTCAGCTTTTTGAAAAATTATAAAATTTTCTAGCAAAACATAGCCTTGCATGAGTTCTCTGGGCCCTTATTTTGATAAGGAAGGAACCCAAGGCCTTGGGAAGTTAAGCAATTTTGTGATTTGTGGCATAGATGGGGCTATGTCCCAGGCCCCACTTCTCTTTCTGCTGTGCTTTTATTGATCACCACACCCTGAGGCAAAACAGATTTTCAAACTCCTCAGAAAACTTTTAACTAAACTTTGTTGTTAGACTGCTTTTTGGAAATGTTTCGTTTTTATGTGTGGCCTATCCCTAAGTAGTTGTTCTTGGAATGTATGAAAACAAGATTCCAGAGTATTTGTTTTGCCTCTGTTAAGTAAAAAGGAAAACCTCCCAAAAAATTCTGTACCTGATTTTTCCCTACAAAGGAGCCTTTCATGTGGCAGAGGATGATGGGATTCTAGTAAACTAGGCACCTTCTGCCTTATTTCTCCTGCCCAATGAATGGCTGTCATCACATAAATTGCATTTACTAATCTATCTTAACCATGATTTGGCTCCTATTTTCAGTTATCAGCCCATAATATAGACGGCATAGGGTGCTTATTTGGGGCTCTGATAAAAGAATAGCAAGGCTGGCAGTTAATACCTTGGTTAATACTACCAAGCCCATGGTGTTGGTTTTTGCTGAACTTGTGTGCTACAGATGCATTTCTAGCTTTGAAAAGTCACTTAAACTTTTTTGTTTTATTTACAAAAAGTTAAGAGCACTCCTCATGCTTTGTAGGCATTAGAATCCAGTTTTTTACCCATTGAAACCTAGGAAAAGTGAGGCTCAAGTTGTTTTAAGCACTTTATGTTCAAAAAAGCAAGTAACAACTGGCATGAAACTTTTCTCATGTTACATTCTTGATGTTTATACCATTTTTGGGTTTTTAAAAGCTATCTGTTGTGTTTGTTCATCTTTGTAACAAGGCACGTTTACTCATGTACCTGAACACACCACTGCATTTTTGCCTTTTGGAGTGTGTCCCTGGATGGCTGTAATCAGTATTTTACTGCTTGTGCAGACATTGCATTGAAAAACAATTTTTTTTTTATTATGGCTTCCTTGGGATCAAAAAGAGATTTTGTGTTTTTCAATCCCCAGATGATTATTTCCTGCTACACTGTATCCCATAGTGGGGTTTTTGTTCTTTTTTTGGAAGTGGGAGAAAGTGTGTGATTACTGTGTTTAGGAAATGGTCGGAGTAGCAGTTCTTTCCCTGGTATATTTATCCTTCTTCCTCCTTTTGATTATTTATATCAAGTAGCATTAATTACTGAAATGAAAGGGTATGGGTCTGTGTAAGTGAAACTTTTTTGTTTTTATTTGCTGTAATCATTTGCTACTTGTGATCCCATTTGAGATATTTAATGCTAATCTGTGCTTTGCCTTGGCTTTCTGCTTTGTGTTGTCCTGTCTTGCTTTTATGTTTTTTGTTGTCCTGCAATCCCTCATTTCTTCGTGTTTTTTTTTTTTTTTTCTCCCTCATGCTTTTCGTTGTCTGCACTTGGCTTTGATTGCAAAATACAAAAATACAAAAAAAAAAAAAAAAAAAAAAACTGTGGGGCCCATAAATCTGCATCATTGAATGTCCTTGTCGCCGTTGATGACCTGCTTTCTGCTCCCGTCCCCCTCCTTGGCCTGCTGTGATTGGTGGCTTCGTTGCTTGGCTTGGGCTGTGTTGTGTGAACGGAACAGTTCACCCCAGTATGGCCTTCTTGCCGACAGGTATCATTTCTGTGAGAAGTGTTTCAATGAAATCCAAGGGGAGAGCGTTTCTTTGGGGGATGACCCTTCCCAACCCCAAACGTAAGTAACTGCATTATTTTGAAAACTGCTATCTTATGTCTTAGTTTGTTGTCAGGTGATTAGTCTCAGATTTCTTTCTAAGGGGTCCTGTGCTGTCCAATATGGTAGCCATCAGATGGCTATTTAAATACAAATTAATTAAAAGTAAATAAAGTTAAAAAATTATTTCTCAGTTTTACTACCCACTTTTCATGTGCTCAGCAGCCGAGCTGCCTGTGCTAGTGGCCACTTTATTGGTTAGCACAGATAGGTAACATATCCATCATAGGAAGTTCTATTAGCACTGATCTAGGGAATATATCAGCAGTGGCTAGTCATCTTAGATGTAGTAAAAGTATTTCTTCTGTAAGGAGATAATCAGTTTCTCTTCTAAAAACTGAAACATTAGTGAAAGAGAACATCATTCTTAACTGTTTTGAGTTTGAGGGGGATTGAACTAATAACCACCTTATACCCTTCTCATATAAGTTAACAGGATACCTAAGTCAGTATAATAGTGAACAGAATTTAACAACATGTAAGGTTTAAGAGACTCGGTTGGGCTTTGTAGTCCCACAAGCTCTTATCATTTGGGTAAATGCCAAGAAAAATTTTCAAACACAAAGCCTAAACTGCCTAATAGTAGATCTCTAAGATTTAGTTAGATGCTGTTTCAAACTTGGATGCTATATTTCAAACTTGGACTCCTTCATTAAAATGGAAGAACTATTCGTTGGAATCGTAGTTTTTTTTTTTTTTTTTTTTTTTTTTTTAAGATGACCGGTAAGAGGATCTTAACCCTTGACTGGGTGTTGTCAGCACCACACTCTCCCAAGTGAGCCACGGGCTGGCCCCTGAAATTTTTTTTAATAAATACAATGAATACTGGATTTTTGTCCTTCACAATTACCCTTATTTTGAAGAATAAGAATCTGAAACATGTATCTTTAATGTTGACATTTTCTGTTGATATAAAAAGTTATTTGACAAGACTCTCCTAAAAAAGACTGTTCTTAAATAGTGAATTATTTTGCACTATACATAACATCTTTAGTAACTCAGTCTAGGAGCATTAAACTATAAAAAGGTATAAATACCTAACACTAAGAGTAGTAGGCAAGATTTAAAAAGTTGAGAAGAAGACAACTAATGTTTCTAGGTCTTCCCGGGCTTCTGGTTCTGTTTCCCATTAGGGGAAATTTATTTACTATGAAGTCCTATAGAATGTTCCTTTACTAAAATGTGCGTTTTGTGTGAACCAAGAATGCACCTATTAAATGTACATTCTTAGAGAATCGAAATCATTTATAGTGTGAGATTTGTTCCCTTTGATTTAGAACTAGAACATCAGTTTTTTGTCTTTATTGATTTTTCTCATTGTGTCCCTCTTCTCTCCTTAGTACAATAAATAAAGAACAATTTTCCAAGAGAAAAAATGACACACTGGATCCTGAACTGTAAGTAATTCCCCTTGAAGTTCTCTTGAATAGTTAGTACACAATGAGTTCTTTTCATTCTCTTGATTTGCATGGCCAATCAGATGATTCTATATTCTTGGGCTAAATCTATGTAACCGTCATCTAACATAGCTAATAGAAATGTGGAAAACATTCAAGTATGAAGGCTATTAGTCTACAGTACAGTTAATATTCATTTACATTTCACTAAATCGACCCAATGTTTTGGTGTTTTATAGGCCCAAGTGAGGCACCAAGTTACCTTTGCTCGATGCTATGCATTCCATCCCTGTTGTCCTCTGCATTTTTAATGCATAACTTATAATCCCCAGGTTTGTAGAGAGGCCTTTCATAGCATCAGGCATTGAAGTGTACATTTTCTAGGTGTTCCTAAAATAGGCAAAATGGTGTCAGACAATTTGGAAGTTTCAACAGCAGTGGTCTTTCTCTTTTTTTTTCATCTTTCCACAGTCACATTTAAAATTTTCACATTTAATAACTGAACTTAATTGTTTTTGAAATTCGCTCTACCTATAACTAAAAAGCTTTTAAAAAATAAAAAATGTTGTTAAAACTTTTTCTTATTCTTTGTATATTACCTTGACTATCTTTTGAATTGTCAGAAATCATGGGAAATAATGGAATAAAGTTTTGGAATGAATCTTGGAATTGCCTTTGCATTTTCAGGTTTGTTGAATGTACAGAGTGTGGCAGGAAAATGCATCAGATCTGTGTCCTTCATCACGAGATCATCTGGCCAGCTGGGTAAGGCTTATATCAATATTTTCTCTGGAATTTTTCTTCATCATAAATATTAACAAGTTTTTTCCTTCTTTCCAGTGACTGTATCATGTCTTCAAAGTTATTGTCTTCAAAATCTTTTTCTTTGGATTCGGAATAATTAAAATCCAGATTCAAAATGTTAAATAACCTGGGATCCAAAAATAAAAATACATCTTTCTCTTATTTGCATGCATTTTTTTATTTTAACCCATATACATATATTTTATTCTGCTGGGTTTTTTATTAAAATTGTATTGTAGTTATTACACATCAAAAGTGAACCCTGTTGATAAGGCACCTGGAAACTAGCAAGCAAATGTTAGATGTAATAAATTTCGCAGATTTTAGATGTTATACTGCAGTAGAAAAATCAGACATTGGGTATATGGAGGGAGGCAGGGGAGCACTTCTATCTCTACCTTGAAAACATCACGCTGTTAATGGTATACTAACCAGTAAACCTGGTCAGGGTTTGATTTAAACATCTTTTTGTTGGTGTACGGACAATAAGGTACATATCTGTAGTCAAAGTATAATTGTCCAATCAGAGGCAGGGAGGCCACCTGTCACTCTAAGAATGGGGCCGATCCCACCTCTGTTCCAAAGGAGGAGGAGATCTGTGATATCAAGTGCCTCTCATTAGGATGATGGGATCTCCACACTGTTCTTAGACTGATTGTTGATGCTGTTTTGGAGGTTACAGGAAAGGGGAGGCTAATTAACAAATGTCCAGGGGCTGGCCAGTTAGCTAGAGTGCAGCCTTGTAACACAAAGGATATGGGTTCAGATTCCCTTACTGGCCAGCAACCCCCTGTCCCCCTCAAAAAACATATATATCCAGAAAATAAAACTCAGAAAAATTGAAATAGATAATGTTAAGTGGCTACCTTTTTATCTTCAGTGTGACTTGTCTTTTAAGTGTGCCTTTTTAGTGCTTAATCACAGACTTCATAAAAATGATTGAGACTTATGACTCTTGCAGTTTACCACCTGTCAGCTGGGTGGAGAAAATCTCTGTTATCACTATATTAAGTTTACTTTTTCTTAATCGGATATAATTTGTTTATTATAAAATTTGAATCGTATGAAATATGATAAAGTAAAAAGCAAGTCTCACTTTCTCCCCTCCCACCCAAGTTCCTCACCACAGGAATAACCATAGTCATCAGTTTAGAAGGATTTTTTCCACACACGTTTCTATGAATAAACATACATTTTATTGATTTATATATAGTATTTTTAATTTTTCCATCTTGTTTTAGGTTATGGATATTCATTTATGTCTGCTGCATTTTTAATGGATGCATAGTATTGTATAATATACTATGATCCATTTATTTACTTTGTTGATGAATATTTACATTGTCTTAAGTTTTAATAAGAAAAACTGTACATATGTGCACACATCCCATGCAATTGCAGGAGCAAAGAATTTATGTTTTAAATCTATTGGTTCTCCTATCAAATGTACATTATACATTCCCACCAGTAGCATACAGGGAGTGTCAACACTTAACTTTTGCCAAGTGATTGGCCAAAAATAAAAAATTCCTGTCTTAATTTGTAAACCTTCGTCATCTTCTCTCTCTCTTTTTTTTTTTTTTAAAAAGATGACCGGTAAGCGGATCTTAACCCTTGACTTGGTGTTGTCAGCACCACGCTCACCCAGTGAGCAAACCGGCCATCCCTATATGGGATCCAAACCCGTGGCCTTGGTGTTATCAGTACCACACTTTCCTGAGTGAGCCACGGTCCGGCCCCCAAAACCTTCATCATCTTTTCATACGTAAACCAACTTATATGCCCTTCACATTTCTTCATGCCTGTTGCCTGTTTGTCGGTTAGGTTATTTATCCTTTTTTTTTTTTTTTTTTTTATTGATTTCTGAAAGCTCTTTGTATATTCATTATTATATTAACTCTTTGTTATATATTTATAAATATCTCTACCAGGTTGTGTTTTGAATTTTAACTTTATTCAGACAATAGATTTTGTTATGTACAGTACTTTAAATGCTTCTCTTAAGCTGTGTAAGCAACATCTTGGTTTAAATTTTAGATTTGTCTGTGATGGCTGTTTAAAGAAAACTGCACGAACTAGGAAAGAAAATAAGTTTTCTGCTAAAAGTAAGTTTCATTTTTACAGCTATGCTAAAAATAACTTATTCTTACAGGTAAATCTTGGCAAAACTTTTCTTTTTTTTGGCAAATCTTCTGAAGCCTAATTAGGAAAAAATCATCCAAAATAAGTTAATGTGTTTTAACCTTATTTAAAATTATTTAATTAGAGTAAAAATAAAATAATTCTGTAATCTATGTGAAGGTGAACTATAATATACTTTTGGTGTAACATTCATTAGATGTAAGAAAAAGAAAAATATCTAAGAAAAAAGATTTGTAAAATGTACAAGATATGTGTTGCTCTTATTCCTATATTTCTTTGTATTTGGGGCATTTCACAGTGGGGGGCAGATGTGGAAATGATTGGCCAGAATTGCCATCCCATAAGTGAGTTTTGTAGTGTTTTGTTGACCTACAGACTGTTAATGTTTCTCAAAGTGTTCAGCCATTGTTATTTTTAAATATTGCAGTTAAGGCGAGGTACTTATGTATGTATGTTTATTCTATACTTTTAACTCTTCCAAAATTGGAAAATTTTCAAAATATAAAACTGGGGGAAATATATTTAGAAATTATCGAGTACCATGCTTGCTTTATCAGCACATACACTAAAACTGGCACAATACAGAGAAGATTAGCATGGCTCCTGTACTATTATGGTGTGTAAATTTGAAAAATGTTCCATATTTTAAAAAAAGTATTGACTACCTTGGTGAGTTTTTAAAAATCCAGCAAGTTATCCTATTTGTATTGAAAAACACAAATGAGATTTAAAATTGAACCTTAAGACAGTAATAAGTTTGCACTGTGATAACTTTTAACTCTTACATTCCTAGGGTTGCCATCTACCAGGCTTGGCACTTTTCTGGAGAATCGTGTGAATGAATTTTTGAGGCGACAAAATCACCCTGAGTCAGGAGAGGTCACTGTTAGGGTAGTTCATGCTTCTGACAAAACTGTGGAAGTCAAACCAGGCATGAAAGCAAGGTATCTAGTAATTTTCCCTTTTCTTCCCTTGTAGATCTTCTGTTGCTCATACGTGGTTTACTTTTGATGATTCCAATCTGAATGACATACATTGTGGTTTTGTCCCTCAATCTGAATTTTGTAGGTTTGTAGATAGTGGAGAGATGGCAGAATCCTTTCCATATCGAACCAAAGCCCTCTTTGCCTTTGAAGAGATTGATGGTGTTGACTTGTGCTTCTTTGGTATGCATGTTCAAGAGTATGGCTCTGACTGCCCTCCACCCAACCAGAGGTATGACTCACTCACTATACCTAGCTTCTAATTTAGGTGGGAAACCATAAGGGGCAAGAAAGTGTTTGGCGTGCTTGGTTTGGAAATGCAAAAATCTCAAGTGTCCAGTTAGTATTAAAGTGAAACAGTTTTATAAACAACCCAAACAGAAAATAACTGCTCATTACTGCTCTTCTTTGTTAGTAGTATGAAGGAAAAGGATATGAATGGTAGACAGGCTTAAATCTAGGTTGTTAAATATCTCTCTGAGTGTTATGTGAAAGAGTGTCATACAAATGGGTTTAGAATTTCTGGTGTCCAAAAATAGTATAAGGGCCGGCCTGTGGCTCACTCGGGAGAGTGCGGTGCTGATAACACCAAGGCCACAGGTTCGGATCCTATATAGGGATGACCGATTCGCTCACTGGCTGAGTGTGGTGCTGACAACACCAAGTCAAGGGTTAAGATCCCCTTACCGGTCATCTTTTTTTAAAAAAAAAAAAAAAAGTATAAAAGCTAGGATAATAATGCTACCAGAATATACTGGGATCAACAAATACTGATTTAGTATGTGCCAGGCACTGCTTGCTAGGAACTAAAAATATAATGATAATATAAAAAAATAATAGGCTCACTAAACTTCCCTAAAGGTTTACAGTCTAGTCATTTACCTAACTGTGTGAGCATTACAAATGACAGTACAAGCAAAGAGCATAGGAGAGATGAGAGGTGTTTTTAGCCACATGAAGTAAGAACTCGGGCTGGCCAGTTAGTTCAGTGGGTTAGTGTGTCATGTTATAACACCAACGTCAAGGGTTCAGACCACCCCCCCACCCCCGACCCCCACCCAGAAAGCACCGAGTAAGAACTCATTATGTGACTTGTTTTTTTCTCCCCATTTGGTATAGGAGAGTATACATATCTTACCTTGATAGTGTTCATTTCTTTCGTCCTAAATGCTTGAGGACTGCTGTCTATCATGAAATTCTAATTGGATATTTGGAATATGTCAAGAAATTAGGGTAAGCATATTGAAAATGAATATTATTTTTTAAAATAGTGCAGTATTGTGGTAAGACAGGGCACATGTATATCTTTTTGCCTTTTTATTTTTCTCATCCTGGTTCTCATCTAGCAGAAATATAATCCCAACTTTGTTGGAACCCCTTTGAAGTCATTGTTGTCCATGGGAAAGAAATGAATATTTTGGCTCTAGTTCAACCCATCCCACATTAGTTTTATTTTGTTTAGTTAAGCTGTTGGGTACAGTTTGGTTTGAAGGTTGGCTTGTTACTCAGCTGCGGGTAGAATGTTAAACTCTATATGATCATTTTGTACCTGGGTGTCAAGACCAAAAACAAAGATCTGGAGATACTCCTTACCTTTAAGCAGATATGTCTCTGAAAATACTCCATCTTGCAAGTCATTACCCAACAATTTGTTTTTCATTTAGCTCTCTTGTTAAAATGGGTCAATTTTCCTTTACATTGTAATCTTTATTTGGTCTTAAAATGTAAGTTTGGGATTTTTTTTTTTTTTTCCTTTTTGTCTTTTTTTCGTGTCCGGCAACGGATCGCAACCCTCAGTGTCGCGCCCGTACTGGACCAGGACCGGCAACAGGATCGCAACCCTCGGTGTTGCTCCCACACCTTGCTCAGCCAGTGAGCGGGAACCGGTCTGTATGTGGGATCTGAACCCTTGTTGTGAGCGCCACCGCGCTCCCAAGCGGCGCACTGTAGCAGTGCGCCACCGGGCCGGCCAAGTTTGGGATTTTTAAATCCAGGGCCAAGCCATCCCCTCTACAAGTGAAATTCACAACTCCTCTATGGCTTCCAAAAAGAAGTAGACAATGTGAGATCCATTATTAGTGCTGTGCGTTATGCCTAGTTCTGGCCTAAGAATTTTGATCTGATGCTGGCTTGTACACTTTTATGTTATCTTGGGAGAAATCACTGGTTTCTATATTGACTCTTATCTTGTGATTTAAAGCATAGCATTCTATCTAGAATGGATGATCTTTTCTGTTGAATGTTCCTTCTCTTTATGTTAGGTACACAACAGGGCATATTTGGGCATGTCCACCAAGTGAGGGAGATGACTATATCTTTCATTGCCATCCTCCTGACCAAAAGATACCCAAGCCCAAGCGACTGCAGGAATGGTACAAAAAGATGCTTGACAAGGCTGTGTCAGAGCGTATTGTCCATGACTACAAGGTCAGTTGGAGCTTGGTGGGAAAGAAATGATAGATCTGGAAATGTACTAATCTTGCTGCCTTTATTCTGTCATTTAACTTTATAACAAAGTCTTCTGTTTGTTCTCTACCTCTTCCATGTAATTTGTAAAATCACACTAATTCAATAAAGTATTTGTATTTCGTATATTTGAAATGAGTTGTAGATTAAGAAATCCCTGTTTTAAATATGTGACTAATTAAAAATGTATTCTTAATAACTTATTTTAAGTATTCATGAATATAGATTATCTCATGATATGAACTTGAACTACTCAATTGAAAACATCAACTGGATATTTTCCCACGCAGCCCAGCAAATCATTCTACAGCAAATACAGTTTTCACTATTTGTAGTTTGGGTTTTTTGAACATAGCTCTCACTTAAAGCAGCTGAAATTCCAAGAATGAGTGCAGGAGTGGTAAATGGTTAAGTACAGTTGATCTTGGCAGGATCATTTGCCATTTGGTTATATAAAAGCAAATAATCTGTCCTCATGGACAGAGGAAAGAGAAAACCAGATATATTGACTTCAGACCAGCCTTTTTACTGTTTATGACATTAAATGTCTCTCTGGCATATGGCTTAAGTGTAAAACTCTGCCAGCTTTCTTATGTCAGTTAGCTGTGACTGCTTCTGTCTAATCAATGCTTTGAAAAAAAAAAAAAAATTTGTACATGGGTATTTTTACAGGATATTTTTAAACAAGCTACTGAAGATCGACTAACAAGTGCAAAAGAATTGCCTTACTTTGAGGGTGATTTCTGGCCCAATGTTCTGGAAGAGAGCATTAAGGAACTGGAACAGGAGGAAGAAGAGAGAAAGCGAGAAGAAAACACCAGCAACGAAAGCACAGATGTAAGGGCAAGGAGTTTTCTTTAATCTAAACCTCGACCTTGATACTAATAATCCAGAGGAGAGCTTAAACTTTCAACTTGGTTTAAAAACCATCAGGCATTTAAAAGAAAAAGAAAACGTCTCAGGTGTGCAAGAGCTCTTTAAATTGGGCAAGAAATGTTGGCTTAGAAACGTTACTGAGGTTCTGTTTCAGTGATTTTCAACCTTTTCAGCAGTCCGACCCCCTTTTAAAATGGTATCTCGGACTTTGAGTAATGTAAGCTGGTAAAAGATTATGGATATTGTAGGCCTTGTGGGTCACATATCTCCTCTGGCATATTCCTTTTTTTTTTTTTTTTTTATAACCACTTTTAGAGCACTAGAGCACTGTGTTGTAACAACGAGGGTCAAGGGTTTGGATCCCCATACCAGCCAGCCTCCAAAAAAAAAAAAGCGCTTTTAAATGTAAAAATCATTCTTAGCTATACAAAAGCAAGCCTGGGCCACAGTTTTCCTGTCACCCATATAGGACATATAAAACCTGGTCAGTTATTTCCTCATAGCATATCTAGAAGTCTCCCCTAAATAATCTGTTAAAGAACTCTTTATACCCTCATCTAAACTTATTGATTGAATGGTTTTTAGGGTGGTTCTGTTTTTGTTCTGTTTTGTTTTGTTGTTTTTTTTTTTTTTTGTAGGCTCATAAAATTCTAGAATATGAGTGGAAGGAGATGAAACCAAGATCTTGACTCCTCTCCCTTCACTACCCCACACTGCCACTCACTCCTTGTTCCCTTTCACCACATCTGGAATATTTTCCATCAGTGGGGTCTACAAACTCTGGGGCTCTTCTAGGCGAAAAGCTAAGGCTGTCATTAATGAGGGATCTTCTTCACCAGGAGAAAATTAGGGCAAATATATTAGTAAACATTAGTTTACTATAAACAACAGCTTAAAAAGGAGAGAAAAGTGCAGAGTGCAACTAGTGAAATATGATCTCTAGTTTCAAAGAAGGGGGAGTGTTTTTACCCTCAGTGTTATCTCTAAGCCACTTCTAACAAAAACTTAAAACTTTCTTTTCTCTTTTGTGCTACCCTATAGGTGACAAAGGGAGACAGCAAAAATGCTAAAAAGAAGAATAACAAGAAAACCAGCAAAAACAAGAGCAGCCTAAGTAGGGGCAACAAGAAGAAGCCTGGCATGCCCAATGTATCCAATGATCTTTCACAGAAACTGTATGCCACCATGGAGAAGCACAAAGAGGTAAGATGCAGCCACCACGAGTTGAAGGAAAAACAGGGCAAGGTTTCTAAACTGCCCACCCCAATTGGCATATATGATGCAAGCACCAGACCATTCAAAATTCAGAAAGAAATCATTTGAGGGATAATTAGGAAAAAAAGAAGGTAGTTAGAATAGATGGTAGAATAGGAAATATTCAGTTTTCTTTAGCTGTGCAGCTGTGTTTAAATCTGAATGGTATTGGATTGTGTGTTACTTAGAAAGATATAATCATAGTTCTGGGCCGGCCTGGTGGCGCACTGCGCTAGTGCGCCACTTGGGAAGCGCGGAGGCGCTCCCGCCGAGGGTTCGGATCCCACATACAGACCGGTTCCCGCTCACTGGCTGAGCGAGGCACGGGGGCAACACCGAGGGTTGCGATCCCGTTGCCGGTCCCGGTCCGGTACAGGGGCAACACTGAGGGTTGCGATCCGTTGCCGGACACGGAAAAAAGACAAAAAAAAAAAAAAAAGAAAGGTATAATCATAGTTTTTCTAATTTCTAACCCTATCGTTTGTAATCCACACTGAGGGTTGCGATCCGTTGCCGGACACGGAAAAAAGACAAAAAAAAAAAGAAAGAAAGGTATAATCATAGTTTTTCTAATTTCTAACCCTATCGTTTGTAATCTTAGGTTTGTAACATTTGTCCATTTTTTTCAGGATAGCTTATTGAATATTTTTATTGTTTTTATTGTTTAACCAAGCTACTTAGAATTCCATTGGCCATTCCAATTTGTCTGTAATGGCACTTTGCAAAAAGAAAGAAAGAAAAATGTTGATTGTTAGCTTTTCTGAAAGTGAATTAAGAAGTACAATTAGAGAAAAGTTAAACTTTCGTGTTTGTACTTAAAACCCCTTCTCAATGAAAACTTTTGAGTTATTTTTTTGTTTACATTGTTTATCTGTTCTAAGTAGTTTGGGTGTGAGTTTTTTTTTTACCTTCAACATTATAATCGGTGAGATAAGGAAAGCCAGGAGACTCAAAGAGTCATTCATGCCGGTCTGACTCTTTGTTCTCAAATATGCCATTAGCAAGTTCTTCATATAGGAAGTGGCAATTACATGGGAGAAGGAACTGAAGGCTTGATTTTAGGCGTGGAGTTTCAACCAGATAGGTTAAGCAGTGTCTTTAAGAAATACTTACAGAGAATCCCTTTTTAGAGAGGTGTTGATTATAATGGTGCTTCAGAGCATCTTTGCCCATATTCCACTTCCCTACCCTTCTCACCCCTTTTTTTGTTTTGGCTTGAGGAACTAATAAGGTCAACATGACAGCTTTAAAGTAATAATAGGCCTAATACAATTACCTCAGCCATGTTTGTGAAGTGGAAGGATTTCTGAATTCTAGTGGATATCTCACTTAGGTAATAATTATTAGGTATTTCAAGCAATATTTAATGCCACTAAATTCTAGCATAATAGAGCAATTGGGAAATATATATTGAATATATTGTAAGTATATAAGAATATACTGTGGACACACTCCATGACTTTGTTTAATCGAAAAAAGAGAGAGGTAGTAGTTACCTATTAGGAGTTAGAATCTGAGGTTGATTTGGGTTATAAATTCACATATTGGCTTAGCTGTAATGTGACAAAAGCAGCAAGCATTGCTGCCCAAGTAGACCGCAAATGTATTTTCTTCAGTTTAATAAAGTTTATGATTCTAATTAATTTCAGATACATTTATAATACCAGCTTCTTGCTGCAGCCTTTATACTAATAGTTGTGGGAATTGATGGTGGTTATGAGTCATAAAAATCTTTCTGCTTCTTACAAGGACTAAGGAGATTTTTGCTTTTATCCCTGCCACCGTGCTAACTTTTTATTTTAAAATTTCAAACCTACAGGAAAGCTGCACAGAAACACCAGTACCACCACTTACTACATTTTAGCAAGTACCTTCTAAGAAAGAAGACATCCTCTGTATAACCGCACTATGGTTTTGTACTCAGGAAACTTAACCGAGTGCCACCATCTAATGTCTGGTCCTTATATTCCAATCATAGATTATGGGTCATGTTGAGTTGCTGAGTCTCCTTAGTCGTCTTCCATTTTGAACAGTTCCCAGCCTCATTTTCTTTCATGATATGGGCTTTCTGTTGACAAGCCCAGGCTAGTTTCCTTGCAGAATGTGTATTTGGATTTGGCTTCTTGTAATTGGATTCACGTGAAGCCATGGATTACACCTTAAAGTAGACTGTCTTAAAGCAAAATGTCCACTGTACATGTTGTACCTAAACTAGACCATTCTTATTTTGAAAGAATTGTTGAGTGAAGTAGAAAAGATAACAGGATATGAATATTAGTTTCATCAAAGTCAGTCTCAAAGAAGAGACCAGAGATATGTGAAGCAGGAGAAGGGACATGGTTGTGAAACTTAACTCAGCATTCATAGTCTTGCTGGTGTCCAGCCTGACTCACCTGTCTGCTAAGGTGGTGCCCTAGTTCCAGTCACAATAAAATTGTTTATTTGCAGGTTTTCTTTGTGATCCGCCTCATTGCTGGCCCTGCTGCCAACTCTCTGCCTCCCATCGTTGATCCTGACCCTCTCATTCCCTGTGATCTAATGGATGGTCGGGATGCATTTCTCACCCTTGCAAGGGACAAGCACCTGGAGTTCTCTTCACTCCGAAGAGCCCAGTGGTCCACCATGTGCATGCTGGTGGAGCTGCACACACAGAGCCAGGACCGCTTTGTCTATACCTGCAATGAGTGCAAGCACCACGTGGAGACACGCTGGCACTGCACTGTCTGTGAGGTAGGCACCAGGTTGGGGAAGGGGGAGTGGGCTCTGCAGGGTTCCCATTGTCAGAGGAGCAGAAGGGGCCTGGCCTCATGTTTGAATGGCAGAGCTGAAGAAGCTACAAAAGGGGGCCTTTCTAACCTAAGCAGAAAATATAAAACATTTTTGAATGACTTAAATCTTGGAGAGTTTACCTGCACCTCCTGTTTTTTCCCCCCAGGATTATGACTTATGTATCACCTGTTATAACACTAAAAACCATGACCACAAAATGGAGAAACTAGGTCTCGGCTTAGATGACGAGAGCAACAACCAGCAGGCTGCAGCCACCCAGAGCCCAGGAGACTCCCGCCGCCTGAGCATCCAGCGCTGCATCCAGTCTCTGGTCCATGCCTGCCAGTGCCGGAATGCCAATTGCTCCCTGCCCTCTTGCCAGAAGATGAAGCGGGTTGTGCAGCATACCAAGGGTTGTAAACGGAAAACTAATGGTGGATGCCCCATCTGCAAGCAGCTCATTGCCCTCTGCTGCTACCATGCCAAGCACTGCCAGGAGAACAAGTGCCCTGTGCCATTCTGCCTAAACATCAAGCAAAAGCTCCGGCAACAGCAGCTGCAACACCGGCTACAGCAGGCCCAGATGCTCCGCAGGAGAATGGCCAGCATGCAGCGAACTGGTGTGGTGGGGCAGCAGCAGGGTCTGCCCTCCCCAACTCCTGCCACGCCAACCACGCCAACTGGCCAACAGCCAACCACCCCACAAACACCCCAACCCCAGCCCACCTCTCAGCCCCAGCCCACCCCTCCCAACAGCATGCCACCCTACTTGCCTAGGACTCAAGCTGCTGGCCCTGTGTCCCAGGGTAAGGCAGCAGGTCAGGTGACCCCTCCAACTCCCCCTCAGACTGCTCAGCCACCCCTTCCAGGGCCCCCACCTGCTGCAGTGGAAATGGCAATGCAGATTCAGAGGGCAGCTGAGACACAACGCCAGATGGCCCATGTGCAAATTTTTCAAAGGCCAATCCAGCACCAGATGCCCCAGATGACTCCCATGGCCCCCATGGGTCTGAACCCACCTCCCATGGCCAGAGGTCCCAGTGGGCATTTGGAACCAGGAATGGGGCCCACAGGGATGCAGCAACAGCCACCGTGGGCACAAGGAGGATTGCCTCAACCCCAACAACTACAGTCTGGGATGCCAAGGCCAGCCATGATGTCAGTGGCCCAGCATGGTCAGCCCTTGAACATGGCTCCACAACCAGGACTGGGCCAGGTAGGTGTGAGCCCACTCAAACCAGGCACTGTGTCTCAACAAGCCTTACAAAACCTTTTGCGGACTCTCAGGTCTCCCAGCTCTCCCCTACAGCAGCAACAGGTGCTCAGTATCCTTCACGCCAACCCCCAGCTGTTGGCTGCATTCATCAAGCAGCGGGCTGCCAAGTATGCCAACTCTAATCCACAGTCCCTCCCAGGGCAGTCCGGCATGCCCCAGGGGCAGCCAGGGCTGCAACCACCTACCATGCCAGGTCAGCAAGGGGTCCACTCCAATCCAGCCATGCAGAACATGAATCCTATGCAGGCAAGTGTCCAGAGGGCTGGCCTGCCCCAGCAGCAACCACAGCAGCAGCTCCAGCCACCAATGGGAGGGATGAGCCCCCAAGCTCAGCAGATGAACATGAATCACAACACCATGCCTTCACAGTTCCGAGACATCTTGAGACGACAGCAGATGATGCAGCAGCAGCAGCAGCAGGGAGCAGGACCAGGAATAGGTCCTGGAATGGCCAACCATAACCAGTTCCAGCAACCCCAAGGAGTTGGCTACCCCCAACAGCAGCAGCAGCAGCAGCAGCGGATGCAGCATCACATGCAACAGATGCAAGGGAATATGGGACAGATGGGCCAACTCCCCCAGGCCTTAGGAGCAGAGGCAGGAGCCAGTCTGCAGGCCTATCAGCAGCGACTCCTTCAGCAACAGATGGGGTCCCCTGCTCAGCCCAACCCTATGAGCCCCCAACAGCATATGCTTCCAAGTCAGGCCCAGTCCCCACACCTACAAGGCCAGCAGATCCCGAATTCTCTCTCCAATCAAGTACGCTCTCCCCAGCCTGTCCCTTCTCCACGGCCACAGTCCCAGCCTCCCCACTCCAGCCCTTCTCCAAGGATGCAACCTCAGCCTTCTCCACACCACGTTTCCCCACAGACCAGTTCCCCACATCCTGGACTGGTAGCTGCCCAGGCCAACCCCATGGAACAAGGGCATTTTGCCAGCCCGGATCAGAATTCGATGCTTTCTCAGCTTGCTAGCAATCCAGGCATGGCAAACCTCCATGGTGCAAGCGCCACGGACCTGGGACTCAGCACCGACAACTCAGACTTGAATTCGAACCTCTCACAGAGTACACTAGACATACACTAGAGACACCTTGTAGTATTTTGGGAGCAAAAAAATTATTTTCTCTTAACAAGACTTTTTGTACTGAAAACAATTTTTTTGAATCTTTCTTAGCCTAAAAGACAATTTTCCTTGGAACACATAAGAACTGTGCAGTAGCCGTTTGTGGTTTCAAGCAAACATGCAGGATGAACCTGAGGGATGATAGAATACAAAGAATATATTTTTGTTATGGCTGGTTACCACCAGCCTTTTTTTTTCCCCTTGTGTGTGTGGTTCAAGTGTGCACTGGGAGGAGGCTGAGGTCTGTGAAGCCAACCATATGCTCCTGCCTTGCACCTCCAATAGGTTTTATTATTTTTTTTAAATTAATGAAAATATGTAATATTAATAGTTATTATTTACTGGTGCAGATGGTTGACATTTTTCCCTATTTTCCTCACTTTATGGAAGAGTTAAAAAAAAAAAATTTTCTAAAACCAGAGGATAAAAGGGGTTAATGTTACTTTAAAATTACATTCTATATATATATATATATATATAAATATATATAAATATATATTAAAATACCAATTTTTTTCTCTGGGTGCAAAGATGTTCATTCTTTTAAAAATGTTAAAAAAAAAAAAAAAAAAATATTTTCCTCCCCTCAAGTCAACTTTTGTGCTCCAGAAAATTTTCTATTCCGTAAGTCTGAGCGTAAAACTTCAAGTATTAAAATAATTTGTACATGTAGAGAGAAAAATGACTTTTTCAAAATATACAGGGGCAGCTGCCAAATTGATGTATTATATATTGTGGTTTCTGTTTCTTGAAAGAATTTTTTTCGTTATTTTTACATCTAACACAGGAAAAAATTAAAAAGAGGGTAAGAAACGATTCCGGTGGGATGATTTTAACACACAAAATGTCCCTGGGGTTTCTTTGCTTGCTTTCTTCCTCTTTATCCTGCCCACACACGCCCACACACACACACACACACACACACACACACACACACACACACACATACACTTTCTGTAAAACTTGAAAATAGAAAGCAAAAACCCTCAACAGTTGTAAATCATGCAATTAAAGTTGATTACTTATAAATATGAACTTTGGATCACTGTATAGACTGTTAAATTTGATTTCTTATTACCTATTGTTAAATAAACTGTGTGAGACAGACACCTTGACTTTGTTCCACTTCTTGATGTCATCTTTGTTTTAGAACACACCAGCTTAATCCAGATTAAGGAATACAAGGTGATTTCAGTGTTCCTGTGTATTTTTAAATGTTCACAATGAAAAGTTGGGAAGAGATCAAAGGAGCCACAAGTGTCCAACTAGGCTGTGGGGGCTAGCAATATTCCAGGTGCTGACACGTGAAGTGTCATGCATCATGCATCACACTTCATGATGGGGATGGGTTCTGAGAAATGCATCATTAAGCGATTTCATCACTTTGCAAAAGGGTGTTATGAAAGGGAGCAGCAATGAATTTTCCTATTACCCACACTGGCCATTAGTTGCATAAGTGTGGACCCTCTAATTATGTTTCTAAGTCTCTGTGCCTCACTTTCCTCATCTGTTTAATAGGGATTAGAATAATAACACCCTACAAAGTTATGAAAGTTAAACTACAGGTAGAGATTGTAGCATGCACTCAGTGAGTGTTTATTAACTTACTGTTATTTTGCTATGGGGATGGGTGGGAGTCATTTAAAAATGGAAGAATTCTAACATAGACGACAACTCTTCTACTTGGGATCAGACCTAATATGTCAGATGGTTGGCTTTCTGTCTTACAAGTCCAAGCTACCTTTGGAAAGGTCACCCCATGGGTAAGCTGAGCACTACTCCTCAACATATTTTGGTTTTTGGTAGCTGGCTGCTGGGGAGATCCGTACCACTGACCCTGGTGTTACAAGGCGGCACTCTAACCCTGGGCTAACCAGTCAGCCCTCTGCAACATATTTTGCAGTAGGTGTGTTCATACCAGCATCATCACAAACACAATGCAGTAATGCACTGCACTATGACCTTATGACGGCTATGATGTCACAAAGCAATAGGAAATTTTCAGCTCCATTATAATCTAATGGAACCACTCAATGTCATATATGTGGACTATCACTGACCAAAACGATGTTGTGTAGCACATGACTGTACTTAGCTTATTGAATCCTCAGTAACAGCCGCACCTAACGAATGAAAAAAAATAGGCCCAGGTGAAATAACTTTCTCATGATCACACAGCCAGCAAAAGGTTTACCACGAAGTCCAAAGTCCTTCTTCAATATCTTTTAACTCCCTTACTGTAGAGAAGTCCTGGTGATGACTGCAAACTACTACATAGGACAGAGGCCCTGTTTCAAGCAAATTCAAAATACAGACCAAAAACAAAGTGGGGGGTGAGGGTGGCAAACAACTAAGGAACCATAAAAATAAGTTCCCCAGTCTTCTCATTTTACAGCCAAGGAAACTAAACTGATCTCCAGGCAGATAATTTCCTGCAGTGTTATATTCATGATGAGGTCACTATTCAAAGAGGACAGGAGAGAGGGCTGAGGGGCCAGCCCATGGCTCACTTGAGAGGGTGTGGTGCTGATAACACCAAGTCAAGGGTTAAGATCCCCTTAACCAGTCATCTTTTAAAAAAATAAAGACATGAAAGTACTGGCCAGTTAGCTCAGTTGGTTAGAGCATGGTATAACACTAAGGTCAAGGGTTTGGGTCCCTATGCAGGCAAGCCACCAAAAAAAAAAAAGAGATATACACCAGCATCAAAACAAAATTTAACAAAAGTGTGCAAAAGACGTGTACATGGAAAGCTACAATACATTGTTGGAAGAAATTAAAGACCTAAATACGGGAGGGAGAGGGTGGAGAGGAACAGATAAAGGGGTATGAAAATCAACTACAATTTATATTGAGAAGTAAAATTTTAAAAATAAGAAAAAAAAAAGCATGAATAAAATAAATAAATAATAAAGACCTAAATAAATGGAAAGACATTCTTATTCATGGATTAGAAAACCTAACATTGTTACCATAGCAATACTCCTAAACTGACCTAGAGATTCAATGCAATCCCTATCAAAATATCTGCTGGCTTTTTTTTTTTTTTTTTTAGTAAAAATTGACAGGCTGGCCCTAAAATGTATATGGAAATGTGAAGGTACCAGAATAGCCAAAACAATCTTTAAAAAGAACAAATTTGGGGCCGAGCCTGTGGCGCACTCGGTAGAGTGCGGCGCTGGGAGCACAGCAGCGCTCCCACCGTGGGTTCGGATCCTATATAGGGATGGCCGGTGCGCTCACTGGCTGAGCGCGGTGCAGCTGGTCACAAAAAGGACAAAAAAAACACAAATTTGGAGCACTCACACTTCCCAATTTCAAAACTTACTATGAAGCTACAGTAATCAAGACTGTATGGTACCGGCATATGGACAGACATTTAGATCAATGGAATAGAATTGACAGTCCAGAAATAAACCTATTTATTTATGGTCAATTGATTGCTGGTAAATTTGCCAAGACAACTCAATTTTTAAATGAGCAAAGGATTTGAGTAGACATTCCTCCAAAGAAGATATACAAATAACCAATTAGCATATGAAAAAATGCTCAAGATCATTAGTCATTAGGGAACTGCAAGTCTAAACTACAATGAGATACCACTTAACACCCACTAGGATGGTTATAATAACAAAGACAGACAATTGTGTTTCCTAGGATGTGGAGAAATTGGAACCCTCATACACTGCTGGTGGTTATGTAAATTAGAAAAGAGTGTAGCAGTTCCTCTAAAAAGTTTGAGTTACCATATGATCCAGCAATTCCACTCCTCAATATAGTCAAGAGAATTGAAAATGTGTTCACACAAAAATTTGTACCTGAATGTTCACAGCAGCATTGTTCATAATTGCAAGTATAAGCAACTCAAATGTCCATCAACTGATGAGTGGAGATTCATACAACAGAATAATATTCAGTCATTGAATGAAGTACTGATTCATTCAATGATGAACTTTGAGCAAAATTAAAGATGCCAGACACAAAAGGCCATATTTTATGATTTTACCTATATGAAATGTTCAGAATCAGCACATCCAGAGACACAAAGTAGGTTAGTGGTTGCCAGGGGCTGGATGAAGGGGAAGATGAGGAGTGACTTCTAGTAGGAAATGAGGTCTCTTTCTGGGGTGATGAAAATGTTGTGGAAGTAGACAGCCATGATGGTTGCACAACTCTGTGAATATACTAAAAACAACTGAACAGTATGCTTTAAACAGTGACTTTTACGGTATACGCTTTATATCCTGTACCAAATGAAAACGAAAAAGGAGGACACAGACCAGCTGCCCAGCCAGCCAGGGTAGTGCTAAATTTAAGATTTCCTGTACTGGCCAGCCACCAAAAAGAAAGAGAAAGAAAGAAAGTTATCTCAGGAGCCGCTGAGGGTCTAGGGATGTTTAGCCTGCAGATGGGAAGCCTGGGAAGTCAAAACAGATGGGTCTGAAGGACCATCAAGAAGAAGACTTGTTCTTAATTGTAGGCTTCGGTGAAATTTCTCCCAGGATAAGTAAGGTTGGCTTGGGATGTAGTGAGTTTCCACTGAGAGTGGAAGAAACTCACAGACTTCTAAGATCACCTTCAATCTTTTTTTTTTTTTTTTTTTTTTTTTTTTTTTCCGGCCCGGTGGCGCACTGCTACAGTGCGCCGCTTGGGAGCGCGGCGGTGCTCCCGCAGAGGGTTCGGATCCCACATACAGACCGGTTCCTGCTCACTGGCTGAGCGAGGTGTGGGCGCAGCACCGAGGGTTGCGATCCCGTTGCCGGTCCCGGTCCGTACGGGCGCGACACTGAGGGTTGTGATCCGTTGCCGGACACGAAAAAAGACAAAAAAAAAAAAAAAAGATGACCACTAAGGGGATCCCAACCCTTGGCTTGGTGTTATCAGCACCACACTCTCCCGAGTGAGCCACGGGCCGGCCCCTTTGCTGGGGCTTTGATCAGAATTGTGTTAAACCTGTACATGAGGGCCGGCCTGTGGCTCACTTGGGAGAGCGTGGTGCTGACAACACCAAGTCAAGGGTTAAGATCCCCTTACTGGTCATCTTTAAAAAACAACAACAACAAAAACCTGTACATGGATTTGGAGAGAACTGACATCTTTACAATGTCGCATCTTCCAGTCTCTTAACACAGAATCTCTCTTCATTTATTCAGATCTCCTTTGATTTCTTTCATCAGTGTTTTGTGTTTTCAGCTACAAGTCCTGTACGTGTTTTGTCACATTTAAACATAAGATTTTCTTTCTTTCCTTCCTTCTTTTTCTTTCTCTATTTCTCCATTTCTCTCTCTCTTTCTTTTTAGCAATTGTAGATGTTTTTTAATTTTGGTTTTGGGGTCTTTTTAAGGTTGATTTCAGTCTCATTGATAGCATATAGAAATACAACTGATTTTTTTGTATGTTTATTCTGTATCCTGTAGCCTTACTGAACTCACTTTTTAGTTCTAGGAGGAGTATTACTGTTGTTGATTCCATGGTATTTTCTATATTGACCATCGTGTCTTCTGCTAAAAGAAGTAAGTTTTATTTCTTCCTTTCAGATCTGTATTACTTCTATTTCTTTCTCTTGCCTTGTGCTGATAAGAACCACCATTACCATGTTGACTGGCAGGGGTGAGGGTCAACATCCTTGACTTGTTCCTGAAATTATAGGAAAAGCATTCAGTATTTTACCATTAAGTATGATGTTAGCTGTAAGATTTTTAATGTTCTTCATAAAGTTGAAAGTTCCCTCCTCCTGAGAGTTTTTTTTTTTTTTAATCATAAAGGGGTGTTGAATTTTTTCAAATGCTTTTTCTATATCATTTAATATGATCATATAATTTCTTCTTTCACCTATTCATTTGGTAGACATTACATTGATTTTCAAATATTGAGCCAGCCTCGAATCTCTGGAATCATTTTCATTTGGTCATGGTATATAATTCTTCTTATATTTTTCTGAATTCTATTTTCTAATATTTTAAGAGTTTTTGAATCTATATTCATGAGGGATATTGATCTATAGTTTCCTTCTTTCCTTTTTTTTTTTTTTTTGTTTTTTCGTACTGTCTTTGGTTTTGGTATCAGGGTAATACTGATTTTATAGAATGAGCTGGGCAATGTTCCTCCTGTTGTGTAGAATTGGT